CTACAATTATTCCCACCTTGATTCTGTAGGAGCAGAATATGCCCCAAGCACACTATTCCCAATTTCAGAACCCCGAGACCCCAGCTCCTTAGGACTGCAACACCCACATATTCTGCTCCAGTATTTCTCAAGTGGGAGGCAGAGAAAAAGAGAAGCTTAGGGAATCTTAAGACCATGGGGAGAACGTGGAAATATTTAGGAAATCCAACAAGTTCTTTTGGTTCAATAATAGTTTGCATACTGAAGATTCAGACTTGCTTCTAGGATATGGCAAAAATGGGAGACTTGATTTCTTGTCCCAGTGCATATATTAGCTGAGGGAACACAGGAGCTAGGCTTCCCATTAGTTGAGTTAACCAATCAACTATGCAATCTTCCAATTGCATAGTTGATTGGTTAACTCAAAGAAGTAGCTCCGAGGGCTGGGGATGTGGCACAAGTGATAGCGTGCTCGCCTGGCATGCGTGCGGCCCGGGTTCAATCCTCAGCCCCACATACAAACAAAGATGTTGTGTCCGCCGAAAACTAAAAAATAAATATTAAAATTCTCTCTCTCTCTCTCTAAAAATATATATATATATATATATATATATATATATATATATATATATATATTAGAGCTATTATATATTAGCCTATTAGAGCTACATATATATATATATATATATATATATATATATGTAGCTCTAATAGGGGATGAGGGGCAGGGAGGGCTTGATCAGTTACTGCCAAAATAAACCCTAAGACTAAGGTATACAATGACCCAATAACATTGCTAGTCAAAGTGTGGCCTTCGGAGGTTAGCACTATCATCACCTGGGAGTTTGCTAGAAATGCAGAATCTCTGGTCCTAAGCCAAATTCTTCTGGATCAGGTTTTACATTTTAAGATCTCCAATGATTATACATGCATGTTAAAGTTTGATAAACACACAGTTACAATCACCAAGACAAAGCTAGTGCCTCCACTCCTCTGCACTTCCATCAAACCATCAAAATGTTTGATGATTCTTCACTATAGGGCCTGCCCTTGATTTTGGTCTCCCTCCAAAATGTTTCAAAGAATAAATTTTATGTGATTTTCCCCAGCCCTCACCTTCAGTCTACATAAGCCAAGTCCAACACATCTAAACACAGCATGTGGGATTAAACACTACTGTCTTTGCATGCAAGTACTAGTTATGGAGGGTGGATAAGCAAACAAAAAGACAACACATGGGAGAAAACACTGAAAATGTGGTTTGGCCAAGTAAAAACAATGCCAATCATAATCACTTGTAAAAACTGTTTCAGATGACCCTCATTAACATGCAAGAAAATCATGATTAAGGAAATCATTTAATGTGCAGCCAATTACTTTGTAAAGGTGTATTTGATTACATGACTAATAATTCCAAATTCATGGTCAAGGCTAAACATCTGGACTTCTGCCTTCAAATCTCCAGAAAAGACGTTTGCTCACAACTTGGAAAGGAGACTTTACTCTTCTTTCTAGGTTGCAGTTTTGGTAAGAGAATTCTTTAAGCATTGCTGGGAGTGGGGCAGCCTGTTGAGGGCACCAGACTCTACTCATTATTCTAGGTCCAAATGAAGTGTCCCACTCTTGAGAGGTTTTTCTGGAATTCTGTTTCTCATGGTGCAATCTTTAGGCTTCATTTATGACTTTTAGAGAGGTAAAACAGGAACCCAGGCTTTGCAGACTAACCACTTGGATCAAAATTCACACTCTACCTACTACTAGCTGTGTAACCTTGGCCAAGTGACCTGCTTACATAATCATAAGATGCAGAAACCAATACCATAGAATTGCTGTAGACAAAACATACAATATTATACTGTTGGGCACATAATAAATAATCAGTGTTAGTTTATTATTGGCACTTCACAGAGTCTGGCTTTGATTAGAGTTGGATGTATATGTATCTCCCTTCCCTATTAAATCATGATCAAATTGTTTATACACCAAGCAGCTGGCATAGGGACTTACAAATGGTAAACACACAATCATATTTGTAGACTGGTTTGAAGTTATTCCAGGAAAAGGAAAGGGAGGATACTGGAAACAAACTTATTTACCCAGAGCCAATTTCTGTAGTATTTGTTTTTCTTTCATTACCAGAGTACATTGTCTCAATTAGCAAGGTTGTTATAAAGTGGGGTTGGGGAGCCACTATTTATGGAACTAGATGTTCTGTTCAGAGATAGCAGAGGTGTGCTATGAGGCATCTGAAATACCCAGTTTAGCCTCTGGCTGAGTGGGGAGTAAGAGTTTAAGTCCAGCCAGAGCTTCACTGGCCAACTGGTGCCCTGGCATGGGGTATATTCACAAATAATATCATCTACCTAAAAGGGTCACATTTTGTTTTTCAGAATATTTACCTAGAGGGATGTCTAGGTGTAGAAGAGTTGTATGCACCAGCAGGGAAGAAGCCCTATTACAAACTCAAAGGTCCCCTTTTAAACTGGCCTCCTAACTCAAAAGTGAATATTAGCTAAAATAATAATGTAGTTTATTAGATCCTTATTGAGTGCCCATTAAAGAGCTCAAGGTGCGACTGGCTGGCAATGACTTTCTGGACTTGTATAAGAGCCTGGTGTGTACCACCCTCTGAAAAAACACTTCGCATTTTTTCTGAGACAGACATCAATTTCAAAAATCTGTCCTGAGGGCTGGTAAATGTGGCCACCAAGCTGACACAACAAGAATATCAAAGGTCAGCTGTGGACCTCATAGAGAAGTCTGGAGATTTGCCACTCCAACCACTGGCCATTGAATGTTGTGTACCAATAGGACACATGTAGACAATTCAGCATCTGTCCACTTTCTAGATGGATTCTGATACAAGGCCCTTCAGGACAGCTACATGGGCACCCTCAATAGCTGCCTCCAGTGTCTTTGTCATAACAGACCTCTCTCCTACAATCCTGCCCACAATGACAACAATCTTGCCATGAGTTTGGAGACTGAAAATAACTCACTAGACACTATGTATCCAAAGATGAATAATAAAATTATACACTGTGGAGGAGGGAATGTGATACAGAGGGCAATAACAAAAAAATAAGTATAATGAGGGGCTGCCTTAGACATAAAGAGTGAGGTATTATAGAAACAGTCAAACTGGGTAGTGATCTAGGTTCAAAGAGTTGGAGAAGGCTTAAAGGAGAGAGTAATGCTTGAGACTTGAAGGAATAATGGCAACAGCTAATATTTATTGAGCATGTACTATACATCAGGCCAATTCTAAAAACCTTGCATGGCCTCATTCAATCCTCACAACAACCCTATAGAGGCAGACATTATTATTCTCCTCATTTTACAGATGAGTAAACTGAGGCTCACAGTAAATGGTGGAGTAAGGATTAAAACACAGGCTCCAAAATAAGAGGAAAAAGAGGTTCAGATCAAAGAAGAAAAAAGTACCTTGCAACAGTCTGAGAAGGAGGAAAGGGGCAGTTTCCTTGAGGAACTGAAAGTGGCTCAATGAGGACTAGCTGGGGGTGGAGACAGGAGTTCAGAGATGACTGGGCTCACTCTGCAGGTTGGAAGAGAAACCAGAAGCGGGGGATTTCTGGTCTGGTGTGGACTTTTGACAGTTAGCTTCATGATTCATGTCACCTAACTCCTTGCAGCCTTAGTTTCTCCCTTTTTTAAAAGGCCATAGTAACAAATACTTGCTTCTCTACAATAAGAATGGCAATAAACACCAAATGAGAAAAAGTATGTGAATTTGATTGCAAAGTACAACTTCCTTCACGGACTTGACATTTCATCAGTATCATTTCCCCAATAGCTCTAGGGATTTTCAAAACCAGAATCTGCAGCGTCATGCACCAGAGAGTGCCTTCCCAGCAGAACAGTATGGGAAAGTGGACAAGCCCTCAGGCCCTGCCTGTCTGCCTGAGTCCACATTCGTCACTTTATAACTATGTTATCCCAAAACACGTTAACCTCTCAGTCCCTCAACTTTGTCATCTGGAAAATGGGGATGACAATGATAGCACTTACCTTATATGGTTGATGTGAAGAACAAGCATACATAATAAGCTTAGAATAGTTTCCAGCACTGCATAAAGATTTATTAAATTTTAACAGCTATCATAATCATTAAGAAGTCCAGTGATTACTCATCCTATTCCTCTGTGTTCTTTGTGATAAAAGCATGTGAGGATATTAGAAGTTAAAGATGATGAAGCAGATTTGCGACCCTACATTCCCTCAGTGTTGCAGAAATTCTTCCTGACTCCCAAGAGCTGGCAAGCAGCTGGCTCTCCGTCCTGGCAGAAAATGCCCAAAAGAGGAAAAAGACAGAGACTGCACACCATTCGTGAAACCAGGCTGCTCTTGTAGTTTTCTGACAACTTCTAAATGTCATCAGTCAGATAAGACCTGCTACTTTAACACAGAACTCTTACCATGTCCTCCGCCCCTCCCCACCCCTAACCACCGACATGCACACTCTCCCACACATCTCAAGACATTTTCAACCTTTTGCAAGACATACTCTGGGGTCCTGTTGTGACAGCCTCTTGCTACATTAACTTGCCTAACTTCCAGCAGAGAAGGCTTTGCTAGTTTCACAACAGGAAAATACACAGGAAATTTGAGAACAAAACAAATCTACACACAAAGCCCAGCATCTTCAAGCAAACACAGAGAGGACTGAGGCTAGATGACTCCAGACTGCAGATGAAGCAGCTGTCTCTTAACTGGCAAGAGTGCTGAAAAATGTCGTTTGCCTCTAAAACACCAGATCTGCATACAAATTGATAATTAATATTCATGAGCTCTTCCAGCTTGCTCAAGAGCTACCCTTGACGACATCCAGGAGCTCTGCTTCCTAAAAAGTTTCCGAAAGTTCTTTCTTTGCCTCCTCTCAAAAGGAAGAAGGTGGGAAAGTTCAAATGGGACTTTTTACTTCTTGCTCTTTCAAGTATTTGCTTTGGTAGGGGATTTTTTTTTTCCCCTAAGGATTCAGATCAAATCAGTTTGAGCCTTACCCTTTATATCTTCCATAAGTAGCAGCTTCTGTTTTCTTCCTCTTTCCTTGTTTTGGTTTTTTTGTGTTTTTGTGTTTTGTTTTTCCAGCCTCTGCTTGCTGTGGTCCGTCTCAGTGAGAGAGGTACTCAAGGATCAGAGATATAACAGACCCTTGGGCTTGTGGGAGGGGCTAAGTTAGCCAGCCCCGTTTCGGAAGGAACCTCAACCTCAAACTATGTCTTTTTCATAGATGAGAAAGGACAGATTGGCTGAGGAGTCCAGCAGCTCATTTACCTAAAGTTACTCGAAGGCTTCCCTGGGTTGTAACTTTTTCAATTCTTGAAGCAACATGTCTCTATCCCTCTCTCCCTTCTTCCTTCTTTCTTTCTCTCCTTCCATGTCTCTCTCTCCCTCTCTGTTACAAAAATCTATTTTTCTCCCTTGAAAAGTCATATTGGTTGCAAACAAAAAAGCGACTTATGTATTGCAATTATGAAGCCAGATAACAAGAAACTTGTTACCTTAATACCAACTGGAAAACCTGTGAGAGGCAAGAACAGTTCTTCCTGCGCCATAAAGCTGATCATGTCTGGTCTCATGATGAACAATCCTTTTCAAGGATCACTACAGCAGAAGAGCAACGAGTCACCCAAGCAATTGCTGCCACAGCAGAAGCTGTGTTATTGGCTGGAAAGCCAGATGGGACTGCAGAGGAAGCTGCTTACTGGGAACCTCTGTGTAGCTATGATTTGATGAAAGTCACTCACCTTTTCCCAGCTTTGACTTCTTACCTCCAAAGACCTATAAATAAGCATGGATTGCTACACCCCAACTTGCCAAATGACCCAAAAGCAAATAAAAGACTGACCAAATTATTTTTAAACTGTGTATTCAAAGTTAATTTAAAATCAAGAGAAGAGCTAACCTTCTGAGAGTATAGTAAGTCCTCAAGCACCAAGGCTACTTGGCAGCTTCTCCCTCCAGGAGGCTGTTGCAACCTTAGCATTTGAGGTTTGTAAGAGACCTCAGATACTTAGCCTAACCCAAGGTTAGACAGCATTATTTAGTCTTCATTATTTGCCACCATGCTTCCCAGCACAGTATAGTTTCTCCCCCAGTGTAAGCATTCAGTGAATATTTGATGAATGGTTGAATTAGTGAATGAACAGCAATGAGAAGGACTGTAAATATGGTTTCCTGATTCCTTGGTCATGCTTTTTATACATTGCCTTTTTAGCACAAGAATTTGTGTCTAAAGCTAACTATACCATGACTTTTTTATTTATTTATTTATTTTTTGCATATAAACCATTAAGTTTCTAACCACTAAGAATTGCCTTTGAGTCTATACAGAATATAAATTCTCCATTGAACTTTTGGTCATTCTTTAAGGGCAAAGATTTTTTTTCTTTTTTCTTTTTTTTTAAATATAACATCTTGTTAGCTTGCACAGTACTTGGCACATCATATGTGCTCAGTAAATTTTGAATGCTTAATAAATATGAGGCTTTCTTGACCTCACTAAATGGCACATAGTTATAGGATTTTGCATTTACAATAATAACTAATTATACTAAATAAAAAATCCAATGAATACCTTCTCCAGAGCCAGTTTAGACTATATCTAATGATAAATATTGGCTTGATAGTTGTTCTATGGTGGCAAAATTGTTTTTATGTGATATAATGAGATATTTGTAAATATCAACAACCTTTATGAGTTTATGACTACTTTTGTACTATTGTTTAGGGGAAATTTAAAAAAAAACAGCATGCCCACAAAGTAGTCTGTGCAATACAGAATGGAAACCAAATTATCAAAGGTAGAAAGAGAAAGGAATGTTCTAAGGGAAGATCCAGAGTGAATGAGGGGTCAGGCACTTACTTGAACCTGTCAATGACTACCCCACTTTGGGCACTATGGCAACAGCTCCCTATTTCAAACAAAAATTAATTTAAAAAATTAAAATTAAAAGCCTTTCCTGTCATATTCTACTTGGAAACTGTCAACTAAAGATTACTTAAAAAACTGATTCTCTTTCACTCTCATTTTATTTTATCAGAAGAAAGAGAGAGAGAATCAAAAGTAAAGTGCTCTAGTACCTGACTTCTGTTTCAACCAGGAAAGGTAAAATCTGATTATAATAACTAGTACTTCATAAAGAAATTAAAGTTCATCTGAATTGAATATACAGTAATAGAAATATGGTTTTAGTGCCAACTCATATTACATGAACCTTTCTGAAATAATTCAATGCTTTTTATGGTAATATACTCTATGCTACAATTTAATGATTGTCCAGTGTACACCATCATGAAACTATTACTGTTAAATATATATTATCTCCCATTCATATGAGAGTAATTACAAAAGATATGTGGGTCTGTGTGAGTTTGTTTAAAAATCTGAGAATTTGTCTTAAAAAATAAATCTTGTTTCTGAACAAACGATTATTATAATCATCAATTTTATTGTAGAAAATAAAAACTGCACTCAAGGAAGATGAAAGGAGTTGTTAGAAAGGTTACCTAGGGGCTGGGGTTGTGGCTCAGTGGTAGAGTGCTTGCCTCACATATGTGAAGCACTGGGTTCGATTCTCAGCACCACATATAAATAAATGAATAAAATAAAGGTCCGTCAACACTAAAAAATATGTAAAAAAAGAAAGGGTTACCTAAAGATATTTGTCTTTATTTTCACGATGAAATGGTCTTTTGTAAGTTCTTAGAATGTTAGAAATTTCATTTTTTTATACCTTCAACCTCTTTCACTATATTGATTCTTCCCCCTAGTATATAAAATAATTAAATAATTATCATTCTTAAAAAGTTTCAGTTTTGCAAGATGAAAATGTTCTGGAGATTGGTTGCACAAATATATAGTAAAAAAAAATTAATAGGGAAAATTTTGTATTATATGTATTTTACTATAATTTTTAAAATTTAAAAGAATTTTTAAAAAATCAGTAAATGCATTCCATCAGTCTATGCCTCTCTGTCCTTCACAACCTATTTAAACCATAGTCTACGGTTTGCCTTCCCTTCATTGCCTCCATTCATTTCTCATTCCATTGCATTCTATTTCCTCATTCAGCACTCTAATGAAACCGCCCTTTCTAAGATCATCACTGATCTCTAACTAAAGGTTAATTTTTGTGTATCATCTTTTTTGATCTTGATTAGCAAGAATCACTGTTGTTGTTCTTTCTTTCTTGACATTTCCTCTATCCTTATTTTCCAGAAACCAACACATATCTGGTTTTCTTCCTCCAATTGTTTGTTTATAAAGATAAAAGGTTCATATGATTGCTCCTTCTCAGTGAACTGGTTTGCCTTATAAATTTTGGTATTTCTACAACTTCCCTAGACTGCTTTTCTTACTTCACTTATTCTACCTAGATCATAATTCCTATTTATGCTTTTACATTCCTGCTCAGTCCACTCATATGAGCTCCATCCAGATCCATATTGTTTTGGAGGCATCATCATCTCTAGAATATCCTACAAGGAGTTCAAACTCAGTATCCAAATTGAACCTTTTATCTTTACTTCTGAATCTGCTCCCCTACATGAGTTAATGGCACCACCAATCTCCTAGTTACACAACCTAGCAACCTCAGGGCTCTCCTAGAACCCTTCCCTATCTCACATCATACTGTTTATCAAATCTTGTTGCTTCTGCACCTTAAAATCTTTCAAATCCATCTCCTCCTCTCCATTTCCAAGACTTCTGCCATAGTACATACTCTCCTCATCTTTGCCTGGTTTACTACAATGATCTCCTCTAATTAATATGTCCTATTATCCCCAAGTGGGGAACAGGTTTTAAGTGTTTTATTCTTTAATTAATATGACTCAGACTCTCATTCACTCTAATGCAAGGATTTTTTTTTCCCAGCTGGGTGCCTTTCCAATAATAAGACCAAGAACCCTATGATCTTACTTAATCTAAATGGGTCAGTACTATAATGATAAGCCACAATCTCAGCAGCTTTTGCTGCTTCAGGGCACAAAATCAGGAGAGTTTTAGAAATCTGCCTCTCATAGTTCTCAGAATCTGTTTTCTTCTACAGATTTACCCCAATGTGAGTACAACTTTGCCCCTTAAATCTCCAAAGTCTAGCTGCAGGCTGACTTCAATCAACAAAGCAATCATGACAGTCTTTGTACTGGACAATTTTGGTTTGCCTCTCCAGATCTACTCTCCTCCCTTCTATTTGCTCTCCACACCAGAAGACTTATCTCTGGATCATACATAGGTTTCCCATCTCCTCTGATTTCTAGTTTTCAGCCAGTGGGGAGTTTGGCAGGAGATGGAGAGTAGGGGACAAGAAGGCTAGGTTCTTTACTCTTATTAGATCACCTTGAATTGGCTAAGCCCCTCCATGGAAGACATCTGCCACTCTCAAAGCTCCTGACTTTATTTAATCCTTTCCCTCAAGATCTGGTAATTGTTCCTCCTCTTGTCCTTTAAGCCTAGTGATGGCAATATCTAAGCTGCTACTAGCAACGTCCCCACTCCATTTCTACATGTTTCATGGTTCCCCTACACAATGGAATATGGTTCCCCTATCTTTTTAAATAGTCCTTTTGTTCAAAATTCTGCTTGACCTATCTTATTTTGAAGATATCTCCTGTTTCCTGTTGGTCCCTAACTGATTCAGTCTATAAAACATTTCAGGCCTATAAAATTCCATCCATGCTAAATAGCATCCCCCAAGTGATTGTACCAATAGTCAAGCTATAACTTTCCTAATGGCCGATCAATCAGTAAAATAAAAATAATACTTAAAACTAAAATTTAAAAAGAACAGATTTTTAACACATACTCATTTATCATCAGATTAACCAAATGAGTTAGGTACTATTATTATCTTCAATTTACAGATGGGGAAACATAACTCAGAAAGATTAAGTAGCTTGGCCAAATTCACACAGCTAATAAGTAGTAGGCAGGTATTCAAACCCAAGTTAGTCTGACTTCAGTACACTTGTGTTTATCCACAACACTACATGCTTCAGACTTGTTTCCTAGTTACCTTTCAGTAGTATCAATAGGTTTAGGTTGTCAATCTTATTTCCTTTAAACTATTTTCCACACAACTACCCAGATGATCCTTTTTTTAAATTTGTTCTAATTAGTTATATATGACATTAGAATGCATTTTGATACA